GCAGCATGAGGAGCAGTGTGGAGAGTACGGTGACATGAGATGTGAGACAGAACAGGATGAAAGGATGAGAAAAGGGATGATGAAAGAGACACAGGCTGAAATGTGCTCCTTTCAAAACCCTCAGGAATAAAAATGCATGACTGGTTTTCCCAAGAAGCCACTAATCCAGGTCTTGGCTCAAATCAATCAGAGGAAAGTAAATATTTTATTACTGCTCAAACACTCCCAAAATGGCTGAATCAACCAGGGATACAGCAGGACGGTGACGATGACGAGCGTTTTACCATACGTTCACTTAGTCCCCTTAAATTCAACCAAGCTACACCGAATTTCACACACTCATAGATATCACTTCCTTTTATGTGTCTGGTTCTTTTTCCATCAGAAAACTGAAAATGTTGAAAAACGCTCCATCTTGCAAGAAAGTATAACAACATTTCTGAATCCACCCCCTGATCCAGATTCAACATTTAATGGGTTCTTCGATAATATGTCCCCAGCAGTGGACCAGGTTCACTAGAGCGCAATTTTTTCTAAAGTTTCCAGCGAACGAGCGTTTGCATCATCCTACCTCTTCACCTTTTCCTCCCTGTTCAGATGGTTTCATCCAGCCTCAAGGACAAACATGTCAGTTTCTTCCATCTAATGAGAGGAACAGCCCATTAATCCTGCTCTAAATGAAGACTAACATTCACTGGATCATACACACACTACAATCTGGATTTACATAATAACAAACACAACCCTTACAAGCCATTTCATGAACAATGTGGTGTCTCTGTGCATAAACAGTACATGTCAATTAATAGTTGTGCAGCATTCTGATAAATCCTTAATGTTAATAACATTTTTGATATAGTCTGTATATTGTACTCTGTGCATGCATTTTTCATAGTCATCATCAGCACTTCATTATTTTACCATGATCCAAACTATTCACTGGCAAACTATTCTCTTCCTCCTGGGTTTAGAAACATGTTCCCCCTCTGTCTCCTCATGTTTCAACATGTGTTCGTTCATGTTCAAAAACAGCCTTGGTTATAGTATCTATCTTTATAGCAAGTCCTAACCATTTCCAAACGTCCTAGATACAATGCAGATCACGTTCTTGCACAGATTTCTTAGAAAGCCGTCAGAAGTCTTGCTGTGCTCACCCTGCGTGTTTCTTCCTCTCTCTCTCTAAGACGCTGCCGATAATGAGGCGAGTTCTCTCTCTCCGCCCTGACAGCCTCACTTTGCATTCAAGATTGCTGCTCAGTGAAGAGTGAGCGTGTTTTCTGAAGGAGCAATAGAAACAGTGAAATAGGAAGACGCTTCAAGCTTCCAGCTTCCATATGGGACACGAGGCCGCTCTTACTTTATCATGGCTGCTTGTAGGAATAAATCAAGGTGTGGATCATATTCACACAGGACTGTGTGTGAATATGATATGAAACTCTCACTCTCAGGAGTTTTCCCTGTACCACTCTCCTCTCGTCACTATGCAGGAGGTGGATACAATATCACAAACCCCTGCACTATCTGCCCATGCAAACTGCAAAACTGGGTCTCTCCCACCCTGTTGGACAGTATCAGAAACCCTGAGCTGAGGTATCACAGATTTCCAGAGTAAAGAGAGTCAGTGCATGGGTATAATACAAATAACAGTATAACACAATCTGACATGACACAGCAAAATATCCACAAATTGAACACAAATGCAACACCAGCTTCATAAATAAAAGCTTTTCTTGTACGTCAGTTGTTTTGTCTCTAAGAGCCATGAAATGTCTCAAGAATTAATAATTGTCAAATAACCATCTAATCATTTTAGCTCCAACTTGTTTCAAGACTGGAGTACTTGATTACAAACTATTACACTTCTCTAAATGATGCTCTATCAACACCCTGAACATCTCATGCAAACGTTTCCCCAGAGAAGAGAAACAATTAAGTATTAAAAACAGCGCCAGTGAAAAGGACCTTGGACTGAACTGCCTTTTTAAAAGCTACAGACAAGATCAAGGTTTATTGCAAACAGCTCTTTAAGTGGATCCACTGGAACAATATGGAAAAACTAGCCTATAAGCAATTCTCTTAATTTCAAAAGAACCAAATAAACCTTATCGTGTGTCATCAGGTGATCATTTTTCATTTCTCCTCAGGCTCCAGTTTCTGCTGATTCCAGCTGCTCTGCTTTATTCCAGCTGCTGTTGAAGCACTTTACATCTGTGCTCCAGAGACCTGACGGCTGCAGCTACACTGTGATATTCATCATTATGTATTGTCAGCGAGCGTTACAGTATTATAGCAGCTTTTCTGTGCGTATTCTTGTTTGTGAATGTTCTGCACGCTGGGATTATAAAATAAAGACAGGATTGAATTGAACAACTGTACCTGAGGCAATTTACACGTTCCATAATGATTCACAGCGTTTCTGAATAAATTGTAGAATAAATGATCAGGTCTGTGTCTCATTATCATGCGTGCTACTGCCACTACCAGCAGCAAGAGCCATTTTGTAGGAGCATCCTTTGTGACTCACACTTTTACAGTTTTACATTTACAACGTGATGCATGTATTTTTAAAATCGCACAGAGTTGGAAACATTCTCCAAAGTCACTGGTGAAAATCAAAGATAAACAAGTGTGAGGATGCGGTTGTTGGGCAGAAATGCTAAAGCCAATGAGCTGCTTAGTCATTAACACTGCTGAACACTCACACAAGTGTGATTCTCTTTTTCCATCTCTGCTCTGAATGAGCCGACTGTTTGACTGCCAGCTTCTCCTCAGAGAGACAGGGACAGTGTGTGTGTGTGTGTGTGTGTGTGTGTGTGTGTGTGTG